TGGCTTCTTTCAGTGAGAAGCGATCGAGTATTATCATATGTCATATTACATCCTACAAAAGAGTTTTAGTACGGTACACAATCTATCGCATCGGCGTTGTTTTCAAGCGAAGAACTATAAAACATAAGCATACTTGCATTTGCTGAGGGCAACTCCTGTGTATCATAAGATTGAAGAATTGGGCGATGAGTGGGCTTCAATCCGGAAAAAAGTTCACAGCCCTGTTTTTACAATCTGCCCTGAGTAAGTACAACTGAAGTTCTAATACATCGTGTGGTTATTCTATAAAAATGTTAAATAAATATTGATTGGTTAGACATAAACATCTCGTTATTGGAAGACCCTGTAACCCCAAGCGAAATCCAACCGGAAATAGGATGATATTTTCGGTGGCCTCTATTGGGCTCTCTCATTCAAACAAACTGAACTCTGGTAACGTGTGTTCTCAAGTTTTATAATACTTGAAAATAACAAAGGTGATGAAAATAAACAAATAGATTTAAAAAGGAAGAGATATGTTTTAACTTTTTTTACAAATGTAGTTTTTAGTTTTGTTCAGACAATTTTTAATTAGAATGGTAGTTGTGATTCACGATTCTTGTCCTTAATTGACGTTTAGTGCAAAACCTTTCAGAAATATTATGAAGGGTTTCAGGAACATAATAGCATAGTTGCCTACCTTCAATTCTGAAGTTGGTGTGACAAGATGTCACTCGAAAAATACACAAAAAAATTATGTAAGATCTCTTTCGCGAGAAACGAATTAAGTTCGTCGACTAAAACTTATTCGGACGTTTTGCTTGAACAATCTTGCACCAAAAGAAATGGGAGTTGCATTTGAGCTTATTATATAAACACGCTACATAAAAAGCAATAACTGTGGTAAGCTGAAGGCAAGTTTGGACAAAGGTTTTTTAAAATGAATACCGTCAGCGACAGTTCAGCTTTTGACGGGTCTACCTTTTATTTTCCTTTAAATTAACTCCCTGCTTCCTCGACTTTTTTATCGGCTTCAATTGTAGAATGTTATTCTCTAATCGGATGCCAAAACCCTGCAGACAGTTAATTAATAAATTCCACCCCAGTTAGAAAAAGAGAAAATGAAACATAGTGCTGTATTCATGTTTTTCATCGATCTCGTGACATATATGGCATTAAACATCGATGTCAAAAGTTTTTTTTTCAAAGAATTCGGTACGCATAGTTTCAAAATTATAAATCTAGATAAAGAACAGATTGATTCAGTTTAAGAATTCCTCGCCGTTTAATTCATTGTTGCTAAACATACCTTTTTATCACTCCACTCCGCAATGATGTCTGTCAAGAATAGCCGAGCTTGACAAAAACACCCAGGAACTAGTAAAGGATAATAATTATATAAGTTAAAGGTGGATGCCTTAACTTTCAGTCAAAAGAAAGAGTCCAGACAAAGAGCGGTCTCCTGATATAAATTAGTGGGAATTCAATTTTTCGTGCCCTCCTGGGTAGTGTATACCTGAGGATTAATTGTTAATCTCTTCTATACCCTCTTGGGTAGTTTATACCTGAGGGTTATTTTTTAATCTCTTGCATATCCTCTTGGATAGTTGCTTGGAATATCAAGATGAAATATTTTATGAATTCTCCCAACCTCCCTTGCGTTTCGATGATGCTATGTTAACAAGAAATAGTCTTCAATGGTGAAATTTTGATGCGTGGAATAATAATAATAATAATAATAATGAATCTTTATTAAGTCATAAGATAAATAA